TATATTAAACAACGGTTACATAACTGGAGTTTATTTTCGAAATATATACATGTCCTTACCTGTAGACTAACCCATGGATTATTGAACATTTTCTCAGCTATCTCCTGGATGAGTTTACACTCCTCTGTAGAAGACTTTAAACCCATCCAAACGTAAACAATTCCTGATTGCAATTCGTCTTCCGTGTCAAACGGAACGTACAAAATGTAGCTTCAAATTATATTAGTTAAATTAAATTATTTTAAAATCATAGCAATGTTTATTTACCAAAATGCGGAGTTTAAGTTTGCTGCATCTGGTTGAATTTGAATTAAGCGTGTACATAACGCTCCACCATTGGACCGCAAGTGGAAGAATTCGACTGCCGGCTTTAAAGTAGACTTGTCTTTTCGTTTTCCGGTGTGAATTATAAATTTGCGCTTGAAATGTGCCATGAATTTTAGATTTTCTTGCTGTTGATGAATCCGCACTACCTCTAACTCTTCTCCAAACATTGCTTTGAATTTTTTTTGTAAAGTAAAAGTAAAAGTTAACCATCCCATATTACTGGCATTACGCCCTTGCCAAAAGTATACTACGCATTGAATTTCGTCGTCTGAGTGTTTAATATCATCCACGTCAACTTCTTCCTCCTCAATGGGTATACAATAACGGCAAAGAAACACATAGCATTCCCCCGTGTAAAAATTACCCAATTCGTCTTCTGGCAATCTAACAAATTTTTTACCTTCTAACACAAAAGCTTCCATTGCTTCAAGGTCATAGTTCCAGTCTTCTTCTAACTGCTCGGCCTCACTTAGGGGCATCGAGTTTTGACGAGGCATAAAAAGGGCGGCTAAGTCGGCCCGAGTTTCTTGTTTACGAGCCCATTTGGTTAAGTCTGCGCCAGTTTTAGCTACAGAGTTAGCTGTGCGTGTAAAATCTACGGCCATTACTTCATCCCATCCAGTAAATTTAGATTTGAATATTTGTGATTCAGTTCCTTCCTGTAAGCGAGTTACTACGGCAAAGTCTGGACGATTAATCATTCGAAAAAGTTCTCTCGATAATTTTATCGCAGCGGCTCGTACCAATCGGGTGGATTTCTTACCAAACCACACAAATAAATCTGTATAGCAATCCAATATGTAAACATTTTTGCTATTCAATAAAGTGTGAACAAGTTTTTGATCTGGAAATTCCACTTGTGGTAACTCCAAATAGCCCATTCCAAGTTGAACTTGATATAGGCGAGGCGTAGAAGGTACAAAATCATTGCTTACATGCTGGGGAATTTTATGTTTTGATATTGCTTGTGGATCAGCTCCAAAGTTCTTCCAAAAGTCTTCATTTTCTTCTCCTGTAGATTATTCAAAGTATGTTCAGCATAATTACCTAAATTCCTATCTATAAACTTACCTTGCATTTCGAGTATGATTTCGCATTTATTTTTCCTCTCAGTTTTATTAATTTTTTCTGCCATCAGCCGTGTTTTGGAATTCAATGTATTCTTCGAAGCGCATCCAAGCCAGATGTACAATGTAATACCACAGTCTAGCATAAAGGCATATCGAGGATCTAGTGAATCAAAATGTACGGCGACGGGCTCTAAGTGGACCGATGAACCAGCGGCATGCACTCGGTATAAACGCTTTGTGTACAGCATATCTTCAACCGTATAGAACCCAGTAGCAGTGCGTCCACCCTCAATATATGTAACTTCCGTGTCGAACAGTTCCAAGAATTCTTCAGATTCATCGTCTGTTAAGCATTTCAAGTATTCATTTATATGTATCTATGATCCAAATATTTTACTTATATACATACTAGGGTGGGTAAAAAAAATCAAATATATTTTTTTGGTTCCGACACACGAAAACTAGTTCCTGGGTACCTCTAGAAAGTACTTAGCAAATCTGAGCTCTTAATATTAACGGGAAGATTATGCTCATCATAGTTTTCCATTTTCAATTTAGTCTCCTATAAAAATGGTCATATCTTATCACCAATAGATCGGTAAACCAGTTGCATCGTCAATATTTATAGGAAATTGAATGTTCTACAAAAATGGTCTCATAGACTTTTTCCATTAATCTATTCATTTAAAAGATATTCAAGGTCAAAGATTGAAGTATTTTAGGGAAAATAATTTTTTGTTTTGAATTTTGTAACTTACTAAAAAATAATTATTGTCAAATGAGTTTCAATCATTTTTATAGGAAATCGAACGCTCTACAAAAAAGGTATCATGTGGTTAATCGATTACTCTAACCATTTAGAACATATTCGCAGTAGAATTCCAATGCCTACTGATTTTAATACTTTTTTAATAAATATTTCCAATTTATCCATTTAATTTATGAATTTTGAGAATATTTAAGAATATTACGTTGATAAAAAATAAACATCGGTATGCCAATTAAAGGGATTTCTTTATTCATATTAGGTGATTAGCAGATGAATTGCAATAATCAAAAATATATTAAAACTCAGCTGTTAATTAATTGGTTTTAGTTATACAAAAGAAGACACAACTCAGAGCTCCAAAAACTATATATGCAATGTAGAAATATAAGAGGAAACACAGAAATGACATAAAACCACAGATGGCGCTAGTATGACAAGTACTGGGTAACAGAACTACCAGCATTCGAAATTAAATCTTAAAATTCTCTAAACAAAAAATATTACATTATAAATTTTGTGGAAAAAAGAAATTTGAATGACATTTTAAATATACCCTTTGAAAAATATTAAATTGCGATCCTAAATTGTGATAAAATTTATAAAAACAAAATATCGTTAAAAAATTGATTCGAAAGAAATATATTCTCAAAAAATACATTCTCAAAAGATAAGATACAACTCGCAAACTGTCATTCTATCGAAATAAACTAAAATTCTCATGAATATTGTCAAAATTCATAAATTGAATGAAAATATTTATTGAAAAACTATTAAAATCAGTAGGCATTGGGATTCTACTACGAATATCTTCTAAATGGTTAGAGTTTTCGATTAACCACACCAGACCTCTTTTATAGAGGGTTCAATTTCCTATAGAAATAATTGAAACTCATTTGACAATAATTATTTTTTAGTAAGTTACAAAATTCAAAAAAAAATTATTTTCCTTAAAATACTTTAATCTTTGACCTTGAATATCTTTTAAATGGTTAAATTTAACGAAAAGAGTATATGAGACCATTTTTGTAGAGCGTTCAATTTCCTAAAAATATTGACGATGGAACTGGTTTACCGATCTATTGGTTATAAGATATGACCATTTTTATATGAGACTAAATTGAAAATGGAAAACTATGATGAGCATAATCTTCCCGTTAATATTAAGAGCTCAGATTTGGTAAGTGCTTTCTAGAGGTACCCAGGAACTAGTTTTCGTGTGTCGGATCCACAAAAAAATATTTGATTTTTTTTTACCCACCCTAATACATACATATTTATGTACATATGTGCATTAAGCCGTGGCACTATATATGAAAGAAAAAAGTTTAGCGTGTAACAGTTTTGTTTGAATACTGACATAAGTCAGGAACAAATTTTGGGTGTAACATTTTTTAGGCACCCACTAAAAATAGCTAAATCGCGCTTTTTGTTATAGCTTTCTTATTCGATGTCGATTTTTTAATATTCATGTCGGCGAAAACGCTTCGTGTAGGACTATAATTGGCCCTCAAAATATTTTGGCCTTAAAAACCGTTTTGATTTATACTTTCACAAAATCCCTCGATTTTTATTCTATAAACCTTAAACTTTGAAAAATTGATGAGGACTTCGCTAGAAAGGTGTGTTTTTATTACCTGTATGGGGGCAAACATTATTAGTTTTTATGTTGATGTATTTTGGAACTAATTTCTGTCATCCCCTGTCAAATTTGGTTTGGAGATACACCGGTTTCGGCATTGTCTTCAGTGCCATTTTTCGTTTCTTTTTTTATACCCGAGCGCACTTCTGCACAAAGGTATAATAAGTTCGATTTAGCCATGCCTGTCTGTTCGTGTGTGCACACGATAACTCGGGTAAAAATTTAGATATTTTAAGGAAACTTTGTACTTGTATATCTTTGAGCTAAGGACGGATGGTATTGAAAATTGGCAAAACTTGAAGCTTTTCGTCTGAAAATTAATATTTACAATTGATATTTTACTATTATCTGTCTAGGGGAGAACGCTACTTATTAGAAAAAACGTTTTCATTTCGTTTGTTTTTGATATTAGTTGGAAAATGGCTTCGATCCCGGATCCTGTGGAATGGCAGTACGCACTTCTATCCGCTACACCACTATTAGATACCGATTTGTCGGTAGTATTTCAAGTGATATCTTTACGTCATATTTTCCATCGATTTCCTATGCTAGCGCAACACGTTAATGAACAAAAACTTGATTCATTTCATTTCATTTATTTTAGTCTATGACCTTAACAATCTTACAGACAAGATTACATAATAGGTTAGAATAATAGAAATTATATTAACCCTAAAAGTATATCCTACGGGTCTTTTTTTAATTTTAACACAAATTTTACTTTTTATTTTGTTGTTTTAAATAAATGTGGTTATAGTTATTATTAATAAAACTATGTTTTATTATTAGTCAAACTCACACTTCAATATTCTTTAAAAAAAAAATAAGACAGGACTAAGTATATTTTAGCTCACAGGTTATCTTTTAAGTACATAAGCCTCTACGGCGTATGTTAAGGCTTCACGTTACTCCCAAATAGATTAGGCTTCTAGGGTTAATTATATACAATATTTCAATATTAGATTTAAATATCAATCTCGGCAATGAAAAGTCAATATTTACAATTTTTTAGATTTTATTAAACTCTGTGAGGGCTCTATATATTGGTGCTAGAGTAAAGTAATTTGCCTTAACTGGAAGCATATAAAATAGTAATTGAAAACGCGAAATTCTGTTTGGAACATTGAAACAAATCTGGTTAAGTAAAACAGAGCAATCAATATATCCATTAACCAGATCATATATAATCATAAGTGATTGGATAAGTCTTCTACTTTCCAGTGATTTTACATTAATAAGCTTACAGAGAGAATTATAGGCCGGTAAAGGCTCAGAAAAGTTAAGCGGCTGTAGGGCAAAGTGAACAAATTTGCGCTGGACTCTTTCAATCCTACTAGCATAACAGCTATATATTGGATTCCATATTATAGAGGCATACTCTAA